TGGTGGCACACGTTTGTAATCCCAGCTACTTGGGAGGCTGAGGCAGGAGGATCGCTTGAACCTGGGAGGTGGAGGTTGTAGTGAGCCAAGATCATGTCACTGCACTCCGGCCTGGATGGCAGAGTGAGACTCCGTCTCAAAAAAAAAAAAGAATACCATAATTCTGTAAGGCATGATGGACTTGTAACTCCTTGTCTTTGACAACCCAGTTTTTCTATCTGAAGCCCCATTGGGGTTGAGTATGGTACCCTGTCACTGGTTGACTAGTGTGACGCTGGGCCAGTAATGCGTTGTTAGAACTTAATTTCTCCTGACTATGAGCTGCGATGGGGTGGATTGACTTCTGAGGTTCTTTCAAGCTCTCGTGTTCTAAGAATGCGCACACACACACACCCTCTTTGACAGCAGAAGAGGGGTATCCGTGAATACTCATGGGCACAGAAGGCTTGTCTATGCTAGGATATCTAGCCTTCATATTTCTCTGTTTCCAAATCTGAACTCAAGGTGTAGCACAAACTTTTTTTTCCTGCTTTTATTTTAAGTTCTGGGGTACATATACAGGATGTGCAGGTTTGTTACATCGGTAAATGAGTACTATGGTGTTTACTGCACAGATCAACCCATCACCTAGGTATTAAGCCCAGCATCGGTTAGCCATTCTTCCTGATGCTCTCCCTCCCCGCACCCCCACCCCGCACAAACTCTTAAACAGAAGAGCTACTATGGGTGAGCTAGGGTGAGTCACAGGCTCTTGGTTAGGCCTGTGGACACGTACAGCCCTGGAGGGAACCCTTCTAACTAGATTTGCAGCTGCATGAACAGTCAGATCCAATTAGTGGTCATTGGAGGATCTCCTCCCCTGGCATGCCATGGGGGCTCTGCTTTTGTTCTTTTCATGGTCAACTATTTCATAATAATTATTTTTAATAATAGTACATATATGTTACTAAAACTTTAAAAAAAAAAGCTTAAACAGTATAAAGAATGTCTTTTTCCTATTCTGCGAACCTTCAGTTTCCTACCCCAAGGCCCACTGTTGTGTTTCTTCTGGTTCTTTCAAAGATTCTTGGAATATACAAGTATCTGTATATATACTCCTTGAAAAAACACACATATGTGTATGCACACAAACTCACAAATGGTAGCACATGTATACATTGTTCTGCACTTTCTCATTTAGTAATTATCTTAGAATTTTCCCACGGTATTTGAAGCTAGCTTGAAGAACTTCGTTCACCTCCCCTTTCCCCAGTAAGTACAACCAAGGATGGGGACAATTTTAGGATCAAAAAGAATATTAGACTGGGTACAATGGCTCACTCCTGTGATCCCAGCACTTCAGGAGGCTGATGTGGGAGGATTGCTTGAGCTCAGGAGTTTGAGACCAGCCTGGGCAACATGGTGAGACCCTGTCTCTACAAAAAATAAAAACAAAATTTAGCCAGGCATGGTGGCGTGAGCCTGTAGTTCCAGCTGCTTGAGAGGCTGAGACAAGGGGATTGCTTGAGCCTAGGAGGTCAAGGCTGCACTGAGCCATAATTGCACCACTGCACTCCAGCCTGGGTGACAGGGCAATACCCTGTCTTAAAGCAAAACAAAACAAAACAAAACAACAACGACAACAACAAAAAAAAACACAATGGATTGAAATATTTTACAACATATTTAAATCCAGTGCCTCATAAAGATTCTTAAACAAAATGAAACCTCATTGTTCATTTTTTGAGGATGCAAGAAAATAAACTCATTCTAAAAACTGGTAAACAAAGGGAAAGAAGCAAGCATTTCTCCTGCCTTTTCTTTACAAACTGAACCTCTAGGTAGCCGAATAGTTGATAAGGGGAGGTTTCTCTTTATAGAAGTATTATTAGCTAATAAATGAAGAAGATGTGGTAGAATTAGAATATTACTATTTCACAGTCTTCTGTGAATTATTTAATTATTTAAGCCTATTTCTGGACTTATTGACACACCTATTCATGCATCAGTACCACATTGTTTTAATTGTTGTAGCTTTGTAGTATGTTTTAATACTTTAGAAACTCCCCCTACCCACACACACCCACCCACCACTCTTTTACAAACTCCCCCTATACACACACACACCACTCTTCTTCTTTAGAATGTTCATGGCTATTCTTGTGTATTTAGTTTTCCTAATAAATTTTAGAATAAATTCATCTAGCTCTGAAAAAAGTCGTGGTATTTTTTTTTAAATTGAGTAAAATGTGTAGATGTGCATAAAGTGAATTGCCATCTATTGTGTTTTACTGGCTTGCCTGAGATAGAATAAGAATATAAATATCAAGCCTTGCATTTCTGTTAGGGAAACATTAATTGCACAAGATTTAGTCATTTATTAAACAACTAATTTAGCCTGTGTGAAAGGCAATATTTTATATACTTCAGAGAAAACAAGTGAATAAATCGTAGGCAATTTCTAGCATCAGCCTCCTACCCATTTGTTAAGATCTAGCTTGGCATCTATCACATCATATGAAGAAATTTGACTTTCAGCTGATCACGAGTCCCATGTGTGCCAATAGGATCATGTGGTCGCTAAGAGTTACAATCCTTGGTTGAATTAGAGGATGTGCAGAGAGGGAGAAGTAGAGCGTAGTGACAAGTGATTTAGGCTCTGGAGGCAGACAGCATGGTGTGAATTAGGTGCTATATGACCTTGAGAGGTGTTGTAACCTCTTTGAACCTTAGTTTCCTTAAGTGTTAAGTGGGGATATCAATTGTAACTAACTTGTGGGGTTGCGTGTAAGGCCTAAATGAGATAATCCAAAGGGCTTTGCACCTTGCCTGCACGTTCTGGTGTTCTGGAAATGTTACCTGGTATTTAAGTTGGTAATCTGACTCTGCTGGCCTCATGGTATCTGATTTATTATGTTCAGTTCCTGATACGATTATCTAGAAGAGGCAGTAAACGATATCTAGAAGAGGGCAGCCAGATGATCGGGAAAGGGGGGCCGCCTAGAAACACTGAAGAAATGGTAGGCCTCTGTACTAGAAATGAGAATACTAACATGAAACAGTGGCCATTCATTGGTTGATTGATTGATGGGTCTCACCCTGTCACCTAGGCTGGGGTGCAGTGGTGCAATCATGGCTCACTTCAGCCTCCACCTCCTCAGCTCTACTGATTCTCCCTCAGCCTCCTGAGTAGCTGGGACCATGGGTGGGCACCACCATGCCCAACTACTCTTTTAAATTATTTGTAGAGCTGAGTCCTCGCTAGGTTGCCCAGGCTGGTCTGGAACTACTGGGTCAAGCAATCCTCCTGCTTCAGGCTCCCCAAGTGCTGGAATTAGAGGCAAAGTATCTAGGTGTCTGGCTTAGATACTTTGAATTGCTTTGGAGATAGAGATGGGGAGACTCAGACCAGGTAATACAATCAGCCTCATATGAAGAGGAAAAAAAAAAAAAACAACTTTCTGGGCTGGGTCCTCTGGCTTATGCCTGTAATCCCAGCACTTTGGGAAGCTGAAGTGAGCATATCACTTGAGGTCAGGAGTTTGAGACCAGCCTGGCCAACATGGCGAAACCCTGTCTCTACTAAAAATACAAAAATTAGCCGGGTGTGGTGGCGCACACCTGTAATCCTAGCTACTTGGGAGACTGAGGCATGAGAATTGCTTGAACCCTAGAGGCAGAGGTGGCAGTGAGCCAAAATGGTGCCATTCCACTCCACCTCGGGTGACAGAGTGAGACTCTGTCTCAAAACAAAACAACCCCCCACCAACTTTCTGGCGAGTACATCTGTTCAACAATGGGATGATTCTGTAGTAAGCTCCCTGTGAGAAATGTTCAAGAAGAATCTGGATAGCCACCTGTTAGGGATACAACAAAAAGAATTTCTGCGTTAGGAAGATGAGGCTAAGTGATGACTAAAGCGTTTACCTATGAAATTCTAGTCTACATGTACACATATGCAATCATATGTATGGAAAATTCTCTGCATATAGCTTATCACTTCCAAAGAACCACAGTTCTTTGAAACCTTATTTGATCCTTTTTTGAGTTAGAGGATATTGCAGTACACCTTGGGGTCCTTGTGAACATAAGTGATCATCAAAGAAGTGAAGAGATGGTGAAATAGGGAGACTTGGAGACTAGTGTGTTTCACTTCTGTCTCATTGTCTGTTATCTCAGAGAGAAGACCCTTAGCTGTGAGCCATTCTTGCTTCCTACTTTGAGCGTGAGCCTTTAAAAGGAAGTTTTCTGCCTCTTCAGTGTGTATGAGCTTTTCGAAAGAAGGTGCTAGTCATGTCTAGCAAACAAATGACAGATTTAAAGAAAAGGATGTGACCCTTTAAACTTGGCCTTGCTGCATTTAGCCCTAACACTTTTTTTTTTTTTTTTTTTTTGGAGACAGATTTTGCTGTCAGGCAAATTATTTTTTTGCCAGACTGGAGTGCAGTGGCATAGTCTTGGCTCACTGCAACCTCTGCCTCCCGGGTTCAAGCAATTCTCCTGCCTCAGTCTCCCAAGTAGCTGGGATTATAGGCCTGCGCCACCATGCCCAGCTAATTTTTGTATTTTTAGTGGAGAGGAGGTTTTGCCATGTTGTCCAGGTGGGTCTCGAACTCCTGACCTCAAGTGATCCACCCCCCTCAGCCTCCCAAAGTGCTGGGATTATAGGCGTGAGCCACCGAGCCCAGCCCCAACACATTCCTGTGAATGTCTTTCCTGCTACACTTTTGTTGCAATAAATGTAAATATAACCATAGTATGTTAGAAAAACTTGATAAAGTTATGTGAAAAAGGTAGTGTTAATATATTTATTTCAGATTCATCCTGATTTCCTTTGGACAGGCATTAATGACTTTACTGTACTTTCCAAAGTCATGTTTTGTAAAATTTTTTGCTCTCGCCCAATACATGTAGGATGACATTATAGATACCATGTTAGCCTATTAAGTGAAAAACCTAGCAAGTATAAATAAAATTCTCATTCTCAGTTGATCTTTAAAGTATGATTTGTGCATCTTCAGTGAATGATGAACCCACAACAGCCACAGATCCCGAAGAGCCTTCCGTTGTTGGTGTGACGTCCCCACCTGCTGCACCCTTGAGTGTGACCCCGAATCCCAACACGACTTCTCTCCCTGCCCCAGCCACACCGGCTGAAGGAGAGGAACCCAGCACTTCGGGTACACAGCAGCTCCCAGCGGCTGCCCAGGCCCCCGACGCTCTGCCCGCCGGGTGAGTAGCCTTCTGTCCCATAAAGATCTCTCCTCCCCAAAGACTGAGGCTCCTTTACGGGGGCAGAAACAACGTGGTTATTTATTACCTAGTGGCTAGTAGCCTCTGGGGAGGCTGCTGTGCGTTGAAGCAAGGGAGGTGTGGAAGAACTGCTTGTTCTACATAAATCTTAAAAAGAATCTCAGTTGCCTGGGGCAGAATCAATGCTACCTTGTACCGTGACTTGAAATGAACAGCTTGACTCAAAGAGTGTGGCTTTTATGGAACAAGGAGCTCATTTTGCTTTCCTGAATCATTGGAGGGTGTTCACCTAGATCCTACCTAGAAAACAGCTTTTCTGTCTTGAATTTTATCTTATCAGCCCATGCAGGAGTTGGGCTTTAGGCTGTGAATATTGCTGTATGTTATTCTCTTAACTGGGACTTCAGTTAACAAAAACTGCAAGTTTTCTTGCCATCTTTTTTTTTTTTTTTTTTTTTTTTTTTTGAGATGGAGTCTTAATCTGTCACCTAGGCTGGAGTGCAATGGCATGATCTCGGCTCACTGCAACCTCTGCCTCCTGGGTTCAAGTGATTTTCGTGCCTCAGCCTCCTGAGTAGCTAGGGCTACAGGTGCACACCACCACGCTGGCTAATTGTTTTGTGTTTTTAGTGGAGCTAGGGTTTCGCCATGTTGGCCAGGCTGGTCTGGAACTCCTGACCTTGTGATCTGCACACCTCAGCCTCCCAAAGTGCTGGGATTACAGGCATGAGCCACCACACCCGGCCCTCTTGCCATCCTTTAGTTCAATCGGATGGCGTGGTGGCTCATGCGCCATCAATTCCAATGCTTTGGGAGGCTGGGGTCGGAGGATCACTTGAGGCTGGGAGTTTGAGACCAGCCTGGGCAATATAGTGATATCCTGCCTCCACACACACACACACACACACACACACACAAATGTGGGCACAGTGACCTGTGCTTGTAGGCATAGCTACTGGGGAGGCCAAGATGGGAGGATTGCTTGAGCCAGGAGTTAGAGGCAGCAGTGAGCTATGATCACGCCACTGTACCCCAGCCTGGACTACGGAGCGAGACCCCTGTCTCAGAAATAAAAATTATATAAATCTGACAGCAAAGACCTTGGATGATAAGAAGACGGCCCCTGTAAGCCACAGGGAAGTTCGAGTTTGGTTATATTGTGAGTGGAGATTACAAGCATGGACCTGGGAATCAAATAGCTCTGGGTTTGAAATCCCCCTACCATGTGACCTTGGCCAAATTACTTAGCCTCTTGGTAAGGTGGAGATAATCATCATACATATCTCCCCAGGAAGTTAAGGGACTCAAATAAGATGGTGAGCATGAAGCCCTCACTGACTGGCGGGTGTTACACCTGGTAAGTGATATTTTTCAAGTGGTTGTGAAGGGTCCCTAAAGGAAGGGAATGCTTCTGAACCAGGAGGTGAAGCCCTTTCTCAGCAGCTCTGATCACAGTTGGGGCCAGCTCCCACTGCCCCTCCTGGTTATCAGTTTGGTGCGGAGGAAACCCACATCTGTATCACTCTAGTTGCTGGTGATCTGGCTGACGATGACTTGGCAGTGTGTGTCCTGTGAACCCTTGTAACTCATGAAGGAAAAAGGAAGGGTGTAAGGCCTCTTACTTGACTACAAGGTGTTGTATTATTCTTTTTTTCCCCTCCCTTATCCCATCTCCTTATTCTGTTATTCTTAAGCCACTTTCTTTGTTGTTGTTGCTGTTGTTGTTTGAGACACGGTCTCACTCTGTTGCCCAGGCTGGAGTGCAATAGTACAATCTTGGCTCACTGCAGCCTTGACCTTCTGAGCTCAAGCGATTCTCCCACCTCAGCCTCCCAAGTAGCTGGGACTATAGGCCTGCACCACCACGTCCGGATAATTTTTGCTACTATAATTATTATTATTTTTTGTAGAGACAAGGTTTCGCCATGTTGCCCAGGCTGGCTTAAGCCACTTTCAAAAACCCAATTGTCAAAACAAAAATCCTTTACCTGAAGGCATATGTGACCTTTACCACATACGTATTGTTTTCCCAGCATGCACCACGCTACCTAACTCCGTCTCTTCAGAAAGTCCTGTTCAACATTCCTTCGTACCTCAAACCTGGAGAGAATTGGCAGGATTGAGAGGCAGCTCTGAGATGTTTTTTTGTGAGGTTTTTGATTTTAGTGAAGGTTAAAGTGAAAAGCTCACTAATCAATTGCTTTGTGTCCAGCTACTCCCTACAGAGATATTTCTCTTTCGTATGTGGTAAGGAATACTCGAAAGACCTTTGTTTGGTTTATAATTTGAAGCCTGTATGTTATAATTTGGGGGGAACAGAGCAGAATCATGTTGGCAGAAAGGAGAGAAAATGGCCGCCTGTGTCCCCAGTGAGCTGTTTGTTTTCTTTCCGCTGAGCGAATGCCTGGAAGGCCGGCCTCACTCCTGTGTCAGTCACAGGCAATTAGGGCTAATGGCTCAACATGTCTTTATGTAGGGCGTGTGTGAGGGTTACTGTTCTCGGGGATTGGGCACTTCCTGTTTCCAGGCAGCTGGAAAACTCCAGGCTCTGAAAACGCTCTTTATTCTAAGTCTGGCAGATCCAGCAGCCCAGGGAAGCCGATTCCCCTCCCTCATCCTGCCAGAGGCTGAAACATGTTTCTGAGGTAGAGCCTGAACAGCATCTTCTCCTTGGGGCATTTAGAACGTGATGAGGCCCACGTGTGGGCCTGGGGAGGTTGCTCCCCACTTGAACATCTACGATGGCCCAGAGAAGGGTGTCGGAGACCCAGTTTTCCAGCCCAGATGGCTTCCACGTGCCCTTCTAAATGACTAGGAGGGCTTTGAGGGCTGACTCAGGGCCTGGAGATCATCAGCCACCTACCTGGAGGCTGACTAGCACTGCTGAGTGTCTAAGAGGGAGCACGGCAGGCTTTTGGTTAGCTGATGGAAGCCAGAGAGAGCACGATTTCTGCCAGCGATCCTTCCAGTTCATAGGCCTGCCAGCCCCACCCCAGCTTACTTAAAAGTTTAGGAGATCCAGGCAAGGCAGGTTATTAACTTACTCCTGGTGTTCAGAGTCAGGGGACCAATGAGAGAATGAAATCTGTCATTTCTAATTCCAATACCAACAAAGGGTGTATTGTGGCGCGGGGATTGAAGTGCCATTTCATAGGAACTGCATCTTCTTCAGTTGGCAAAATGCCTTTATCTTTTATGAGGATATATAAATACAGCATCTGAATTGAGTATCTACTAATGCCTAAGTTCTATATTTGAGGTTTTACACTGTTCATTCTTTCATTAGACAAATATCTGTTACTATTTAAGAGATGGCAGGTCCGGTGCCACGTGGGTATTTCAACCCAACAGAACTCATCATCTTACCCATCCCATCCTGGCTAGAACCTGGTCCTCCTCCTGGGAATGGTGCCACCATCTGCCCAGGTGACCTTCAAGCCATACATCTTTCCCCGTCCCTGACATCCATTCAGTCATCAAGCCCTGCCTCTGGGCCTCCAGACTGTGCTGTCTCAGCTTCCCATACTGATCCTGCTTTGCGTTTATCACAGGTATAATTTGCATACAATTTATTGAGTGACCATCTCCTCCACCATACTCTAGGTGCCATACGGGCAGGGATTGTGTCTGTCTTATTTGCCTCTGCGTGTCCAGCACCTAGCACATATGTACCTAGCCTGGCACATAGTGGGACTCCAGGAAATAGTTAAATGAAACAATGGTTCTCTCTTTTTTTTTATTTAAAATTTTATTTTACGATTTTTTTTATGACGCTTTAAGTTCTGGGGTACATGTGCAGAACATGCAGTTTTGTTATGTAGGTATACATGTGCCATGGTGGTTTGCTGTACCCATCAACCCATCATCTACATTAGGTATTTCTCCTAATGCTATCCCTCTCCTAGCCCCGAATCCCTGACAGGCCCCGGTGTGTGATGTTCCCCTCCCTGTGTCCATGTGTTCTCATTGAAACAATGATTCTCTTAAACAACTCTTACATCTGCCCACTTGGCCACATGGCTTTTGCAGTATTCCAGACCAAATTACCATGATCTGTCACTCAAGTGACTGTTTTTACCCTTTCCCAATCTATTTTAACTTTTCTTTTTTTGAGACATGGTCTCACTGTGTCACCCAGGCTGGAGTGCAGTTGTGCAATCTTGGCTCACCGCAGCCTCAGCCTCACGGGCTCCAGTGATCCTCCCACCTCAGCCTCCTGAGTAGCTAGGACTACAGGCGCCTGCCACCACACCCAGCTAATTTTGTTTATTTGCATAGAGACAAGGTCTCCCTATGTTTCCAAGGCTGATCTCAAACACCTAGGCTCAAACAATCCTCCTGCTTTGGCCTTCCAAAGTGCTGGGATTACAGGCATGAGCCACTGTGCCCAGCCCTGTTTTAACTTTTAAAAATAAAACTCTGATCATGACCTTTCACCACTTAGAATGCTCCAGAGGCTTCATATTGTCTTTGTGAATAAATTCCCAAATCCTAGGCCTAAAAAGGCCTGTGTAATATGACCCCACCTACCCCTCAAGCCTTCGGTGGGATCCACTCCACGTCTCTGCCTAAGCCATGATAACTTAACTTTATTTTTTTATTATTATTATTTTTTTGAGACGGAGTGTCGCTCTGTCGCCCGGGCTGGAGTGCAGGGGCCGGATCTCAGCTCACTGCAAGCTCCGCCTCCTGGGTTTACGCCATTCTCCTGCCTCAGCCTCCCGAGTAGCTGGGACCTCAGGCGCCCGCCACCTCGCCCGGCTAATTTTTTTGTATTTTTTAGTAGAAACGGGGTTTCACCATGTTAGCCAGGATGGTCTTGATCTCCTGGCCTCGTGATCCGCCCGTCTCGGCCTCCCAAAGTGCTGGGATTACAGGCTTGAGCCACCGCGCCCGGCCAATAACTTAACTTTAATTTGACAAATGCATCACGCTCTCTCCGGACTTAGGACCCTCTCCTGTGCTGGTCGCTCTTTTTG